ATTTTATTATATCGAAAGCATATGCTATGCTTGGCTTTGTGCGGCGGAATAGCACTGAATTTTCCGATCCGTACACTTTAAAACTGCCATGTACCTCTTTCGTACGTTCTCACCTGGAGTATGCAGCAATAATCTGGCGTCCGTTCCACCAGTTCCATATGAATAGGATTGAACGCGTTCAGAAAGTGTTTCTCAANATCTAAAATCGTTAGATAAAAGAAGGTCAACATTGTCTCTAACTTTCATTTTTTGCATTATCCAAGGATCTTGTGACTGTCCGCAGCTTTTGGGTAGAATAAATTTTAATGTACCGAGGAGGTATCTGCGTGCTTCCCTGCCTTTTTATGCTGAAAATTTCAGAACGAATTATGCCCGTAATGCACCCATTGGCCGTGCAATTTGCGAATTTAACCAGATCTCAACTTCTATCGACCTTGATTTTTCTCTACCTAAGTCAACTTTTATCAATATTCATAATTTGATGCCCTAGTTTAAGCTTGATTGTTAAATAGTCTGTAAGAAATTATGCTTTCATAGACTGATTGTTAAATAAATAAATAAATAAATAATACTTAATAAATTCAATTTTGCATATCACACGCATTCGCAACCGCGGAGCTTCCGCATTAATTTTAACATTCGTATTCGCAATAATCAATGCGGAGCTTTTGCGAATGCGAATACAGTATATTTTGCTTTGCTGCCTTTATGCTTAAGTGCACATTTAAGATACCTACCCCAAAATGCGCATCAGCGGCATTTTTTTTTTTACATTTATAAGGAAACTGCTCCGATGGATGCATTAAACATACCCGCACATTAGCGATACCTGGCTTAAAAATTATGCAACTATTATCAATTATCAAAGAAAATATTACGTTTACCTACCCTGGCTCTACACTTACCCAAATTTTACAAGCTTTTATTTTACTCGTCTCGCAGAACAACTTTATGTGTTTATATAGATAGTTAGATACCATTCGGGAAAAAATTCGCTTGCAGTAATTTCTACGTGGGAAGTGCTCCTCCATTATTTGGTTTCATAGGGATTCGGATACCTTCCTCATTGAAGTAGTAAAGAAAATTCGCTTAAGTGTGTTTTTTCGGTTAAGCGCACAAATTTTTCGTGTAAAGAAGGATGTGCAGCTAAGCAAAATAGACTGTATTGTGCAAGTGTACTCATATATGTAGATACAGATATACGGGAAAACAAAATGACAAATTGACAATTTTTCTTACTTCATTTTCGCTATGTAATCTTTTAAAGAACAAATAAGAAAGTGGTGTACGGGGATCATAGTTTAATAGTATATTATACATTGGAGCACACACGTATTTGGCTAAATTTTCCAATTGCAGACGATGCATCGCGATGCACAGTGGCCAATTTTTGGAAATCCGTGGCCAAAAGTCCAAAAAAAATTGGTGCACTCGTATGCATAACCATCTTATATTGTTAGGAGGGCTCTATTGCGTATCGTTATGAGACAAGAAGTCCATTCTCTTAAGGCATTTAGTGTTACAGGAGATCGAAGTAACTGTTGCTAGCAATTCGCTCTAAACTTTTCTTAAATTAGAGTTTTCGTCGTTGTTAAAATCGGGGTATTATCCTTAAAAAAAACAACAGTTTTCAACCGCTCATGGACATTGTAATCTAGAGTATGTAAAACATGTTTTTTCATTGTCACGCCATCTAAAACCTGACGTAAGACGTAGATATTCACGGATTGATTTTTTTTGTTTTCTCATTATGATGGATTAGGAAAATAGTTACGAGAGTGGTCGCGATGGGCGTTCTAATTTTCTTTTTCATATATATTGAAGCNTTTTTTATCGACAAATTTTGTTCAGCGATGAGGCTCATTTCTGGTTGAATGGCTTCGTAAATAAGCAAAATTGCCGCATTTGGAGTGAAGAGCAACCAGAAGCCGTTCAAGAACTGCCCATGCATCCCGAAAAATGCACTGTTTGGTGTGGTTTGTACGCTGGTGGAATCATTGGACCGTATTTTTTCAAAGATGCTGTTGGACGCAACGTTACGGTGAATGGCGATCGCTATCGTTCGATGCTAACAAACTTTTTGTTGCCAAAAATGGAAGAACTGAACTTGGTTGACATGTGGTTTCAACAAGATGGCGCTACATGCCACACAGCTCGCGATTCTATGGCCATTTTGAGGGAAAACTTCGGAGAACAATTCATCTCAAGAAATGGACCGGTAAGTTGGCCACCAAGATCATGCGATTTGACGCCTTTAGACTATTTTTTGTGGGGCTACGTCAAGTCTAAAGTCTACAGAAATAAGCCAGCAACTATTCCAGCTTTGGAAGACAACATTTCCGAAGAAATTCGGGCTATTCCGGCCGAAATGCTCGAAAAAGTTGCCCAAAATTGGACTTTCCGAATGGACCACCTAAGACGCAGCCGCGGTCAACATTTAAATGAAATTATCTTCAAAAAGTAAATGTCATGGACCAATCTAACGTTTCAAATAAAGAACCGATGAGATTTTGCAAATTTTATGCGTTAAATAAGTTAATTTAAGTTATCAAGCTCTTAAAAAATCACCCTGTATAAGCATTTAAAGATGAATGGAAGTAGATCTTTTCTTTTCTTACAAAATCGCAAAACTCTGCGAATTGTAGATGGCTATTTTCACGAAACTTATTTTAGTATGATTTGGAGCAATTCTAGTTGTTTCTAAAGTTTTTTGAATTAATGCAACTTGTTTCAATTTTCTTTTACAACCCCAAGTGTGAAACGTCACGTGACGTAGCGTCATGTGACATAAATTTTCGTCGTAATATTTTTATTAATATTGCTTTTAAATGAATTTTTAGCGAAAATAAAACATGTATTTTATGTAGAATATACTTTATGTTTTGACTTCAACGCCAATTCAGGGTGAATTTGTTGGAAATCTATGACTTATTATGTTTCAACTACATACGCCAAATTCGAACCAAATCGGACCATAAATACGGTTTTTCGAAATATCTCAACCTTGGCGCCACCTAGGAAGACCATTTTACGCAAAGATGGTTCTACTTACATAGCCAGTATATATTTTAAAAAGCAGACAAATTGGCCCGCAAATACGTTAGATATAAGACTTTTATTTTTTTTTGTCGTGGTGTACCTTCCGATGGAACCACCCATATGGTAGGCAATAATTTTCGCCTGTGAAGATGCGACGTTAGCTAGTCTTTCAGCGTTGTAAGGGGTAATACGGCTTTCCTACGGCACACACAGGACAAAAATTACGATTTAGGTGGACAAAAATAATTAACTAATAAAATTGATTTGGGGCGTGGGAAATTAAATTATATGATGGTTTTAAGCTATTTATGCAAAAATAACAGCATTAATAAAAATATAAATTTACCGAACCCTGCGAAAAATAGTTTTATCCATTTTGTTCTGAAACATGATATTAACATTTCGATATTTACTTGAATTAAATAATAGTAACAGAAAAATATTGTACAGGTTGACCGTGAACAACATGGGGGTTTCGTAGCAAATAAAAAATTTGGATATTCATCGTTTCGCTTTGTATTTTTATATTTTTTATTTGCCAATCAGCTGATGCGAATATATTATTTGGTAGCTGTAAACAAAATACAGTTACTCTTAAAGTGCTTCAGCGGTTCAAATTTTTTTTTTCTAAACAAATAAAAAAATATTTTTATAAAAATCAAATGAGGGTACTCCAGGTACTTTTTTATCATAATTACTGTTACACGTAAACTAATGGAAAAATAGAAACTTACTTGTAAAAAGTCCTTCCTTATTATTGTTAGATTTATTTATATAATGTAATTTCTATTAAGTAAACTTCAAGTCGAAATACATTACAGCCTAGAATACAACGATGGTAAAGTTTATTCAAGGCTAGTTCTTCAACTTAAAAACTTTGTACTCGGGATCAATTGGAAACAAATTTTCCACCATAAATTGCCAAAAATTAAAGGGTAAGTCCTAGCATCTACAGCCCAAGCTCTTTCATTTGACACCTCATTTTCGAAAATCGAACGAACGGTGCAGATTTGATGACATGGACAAAAAATGCCTTTGGGTGTTATATATATCAACGGTGGGCAAACGCGGCTCTTTGAGCCAAATGCGACTCTTTGCTCAGAAAAGTGCGGCTCTTTTTACTTTCTATTTGCTTAGAACATTTTGGCTCTTTTTACTTTTTAAAATAAATATCTCTTTGCTAGACATTATTTTTCTTACCCGGAATTCGAGAATGAAAATTAGCTTTCTGACTTAATGTTCTTCACCGATTTGATGAAACCGGGGCTGCCAGATGTTTAGAGTATAAAATCCGCACACAGACAAAAAGTGGTGGGTGAAAAATGCGTAAGCTCAAATTTGTTTGCCGAGAAAAAAAAAAATCGTTTGTACTGAGGTGAACACACGAATCGGACTTTTAATAACATCAAATAAAGCAGCACATATTTCCACTAGTCCTATTTATTGATTGCTTCACAGACAAGTTTATTATTTTTCTGACTAGAACTTTTTAACAAGCAGTGTGTTCTTAGTTTATGTACATGCAACAAAAGTTTTCAGGTAGGTTTTCGACCCTACAGAGTAACAATATAATGTTTGAAGCGATGGTTAAATTGGGAATAAAGAAAATTTAGATTTTGCGAAACAAAAATTCCCAAGAATCGAAGTCTACCACTAGATTGTTATACATAATTTTAAAGGCCTATAAATCTTCTCATATTTGATTTTTAAAATCGGGTGAAAAATAGTCAAGCTTTTAATAGATAAGTAGTCTCTCANTCGAAGTCTACCACTAGATTGTTATACATAATTTTAAAGGCCTATAAATCTTCTCATATTTGATTTTTAAAATCGGGTGAAAAATAGTCAAGCTTTTAATAGATAAGTAGTCTCTCATAGACAAAAATCGTACCTTTACGGCGGTGTAAATTTGAATCCGTTATGTCAATCCGTTTTATTTTAATCGGCAGTTGAATTACAGATTTTGAAAACACGGTTAAAATTAATTATTTCTTGCTATTCAGTTATTTCGTAATTAAAGAAATTTTTTCATTTGAAAAATTTTTTGATATAAAATAATTCGGTGGATTTCGTTGTTAAAAGCACCGTATTTTAATATAAGTTTTATAATCATGTCACCATTGGAAATGGAGAAAATTGCTTTCGAACACAGACCGTCTACAGACCGGCTTGCCGACATATAAAAATCCAGCTTGCATTTTTGACCGTCTGCAGACGCGATTGCCGGTTCGTAGGTCAACATTGTGTAAGAGAAAGCTGAAAATATGTGTAAGTATATCGGCGAGCCCGTCTCCAGACGGAAAAAGTTACTGTCACAGATCGAAATGGACATCATTTTTGGATTTCTCGTGCTAAATAAATTCACCCATTCCTGAATTTTTCAACTCATAAAAAAATTGGCCTACTAGAGGGTTAAGAAAAGCGGAGAAGAATTGGTGTTTTTGCAATGAAAAGTAGATAAGACTCTGGAAATGCAACATATGTAAAGATTTGCACTGCTTGAATTCAGGCAATATCTGCTGTTGAAAACAGCTGCGTGCCGTATATTTTCAATTTTTGGTACAACGTATAACTCTGAGTCTTTGCAAACACTCTACACTGAAATTCGTTAAGTCAAAGTACCTGTTGGATCACCCTAATAGCATTAATAGCAAATATTAAAAAACACTAATTTCATGAGTTAATAACCACCCGTAATGTACTTATAAACTAAAACACACTCATTGTAAACACACATATGTATACACATGTACACACGCCTAACGTTAAGAATCAACGTCTCATTGCACTCATTCTCAGTCTCACTTAATATTTTAGTTATGCATACATAAATTGAATTCTAATAAAACACAGCATATCGATCTCTCATTTGGAACGGGTCGCTTTTTATTGTCTTCGCTTTGGTACGTTGGATTTTGCTGACAGTTGCTAACACATAGGGCTGGTTTCTCCAACTCAACTTAACTTAGTTAAGCCAATTTTCTTGACTAAGTCAAGAATAAGCTGTGTAAAACGTAGGCTAACTTTTGACTTAAGTCCAAAAAGTGGCTAAACTAAGTTAAGTTGAGTTGGAGAAACCAGCCCATGGTGTCGCTAGTTTTCCACATCACATACGGACAAGCATATCTTTGCTCATTGCTGTTACAATTTATTCGCTGGCCAACATTTGCACACCCCCACTTCCTAAGTTTCGTGCTGGCAAAGAAAAATATCTTTGTATTAACATTTTGACGCCCAACGTGGGGCCCGTGTGCAATTTCATCGTGCAAATTTACTACTTCGATCCGAATTACCACAACGCATCCACATCTCATAATATTTTCGCAAAACCAAACATAGCCCGCAAGGTTTCAGTTCATCCGCCGCAATTGTGCTGTAAATTTCCCGCGGATCCCGTTGATCAAAAACACAATTTCGCTGCTGCACCGCATAGGTAGAGACATATGTACATATTTGCTGATCCATATACAAAAACATACATATGTAAGTAGAACATCTGAACATTCGAACCATTTGCTCACTGGAAATCGTACGTATACATAAAATCATTGCCTTTGTCACTGCCAACCTTTTTATTCTTTGCGTCTGCATTCACGTTCGCTGCTGCTGCTCTGCACTCATTGCATTGCACCTTTGACGACCACTGCGCTGCTTGCGTATACACCCACCCACGTCCAAGCTAACGTTGCTCTGCTTTTCGTCCCGCTATCTTCGCTTGTTTTGCTGCCTACGTCATTGGTTGACTAGCAGAATTCGTCCTCTTCGCTTACATTAGCATAACCCAGCAGATAACTTTACAATCACTCAGGTCGTATACCACGTCGCAGGTCACCATGTCACTAGACGAATGCAAACGCAAGCGCTCCAATATTAAACGTAATATTTCACGTATAAAATCTATTGTAGAGTCGATTCGAGAAACGGAGGACAAACCGCCGCACGCCGAGCTTCAATGTCGCTTAGGAATTTTGGAGTCCTACTTCAAACAAGCACTTTCAGTACAAGCTGACATCGAGGATTTGGATCCATCCGACAATGGTCGAGCCGACTTAGAGGACAGCTACGTAGCTGTAAAGCTCAGCATACAAGCACCACTTGGGGAGGATGGAAATACCACGGTGAACTACACTGAGACGGCTGCGTCAGCACCTGTGGTACCGACTTCACATCTACCAAGATTGTCGCTGCCTACATTCAGTGGAGACTACGCTGAGTATAAAAATTTTATAACGTCCTTCACTCAAATAAAAGCACGTGAGTCTAGACTATCGAATATAGAGCGGTTTAACTACCTTTTGTCCTGCTTGAAAGGCTCAGCTTTAGAAACTGTCAAGGCCTTTCAAGTAACTAGCGAGAATTACCCAAACGCGTTGGATAGACTCAAAGAACGATTCGATAATCCGACTTTGATATTTTTAGAAGGAATCGCTTCGCGTTTTACGCTCCAACCAGCTGAAAAATCGAACGCTCAGTAGTTGAGAAGTCTCGTAGACAAAGCATCCGCCATCTTTAGCTCGCTGGAGTCACTGGGCACAGGCTCTGATATTGCGCAAGCCATGTTGATCTACATCGTCATGGGCAAATGTGACCAGCAGACTCACAACAAATGGAATGAGTCCCTGGACTACAAATCGCTCCCAACTTGGTCTAAATGTACTCAAGTTTTAGATCGCCACTGTCAATTTTTACACTCATCTGATTCGTCAGTGAAACGCAAGTCGGAATCTGGCAAGCACAATCGTGCGACGAACCACAATCAACAATCATCATTTGCTGTAACCAATTCTAATTGTGTATTCTGTTCCAGCTCCAAGCATTAACTTACTGGTTGCCCTAAATTTAAGGAGATGACTTCAAATCAGCGCTTCGACACCACGAAAAAGTATGACCTTTGTATCAACTGCCTAAGTAATGGACATAGAATGGCTCAGTGTCCAGCAAAGCATCGATGTCGCACTTGCAACAAAGGCCATCACACGATGCTACATCATGGCAATTCATCTCAAGCCACTTCGGCGACACAGCAACCAGCGTTCACAACGCAGACTTATTCACTGGCGCATTCGTCGCAAGCTGCAACACATTCGCATATGGGAACGCCGGAATGCGGGCAAGTGATATTGGCAACGGCTATGGTTATCGTCAAGGATGCAACAAACTAGGCAGGGCTTTGCTAGACTCGTGCTCGCAAGTGAATTTCATCACGCATGACTTCGCCCAAAAACTTCGCCTTAGTCGCGAAAAACATCACGTTGGTATACGTAGCATTGGAAATTCGCTGACGAACCTAAAGGCACGCACAACTACGACTGTCAAGTCGCGGACTTCGGACTTCAGTCTGTCTCTACAATTCGGCATTATAACGAATGTCGCCTGCCAACCGGATGCTGAAATCGATACGTCGACGTGGAACCTTCCACGCAACACAACTTTGGCAGACGAGGAGTTCTTTAACCCTCGTCGTATCGATCTGCTCCTTGGAACAGAGGCATTTTTCGAAGCACTTGCAGTTGGTCAAATCCGGCTGGGAGCCAGTTTACCAACGCTGCAAAAAACGTTATTCGGCTGGATCGTTTCTGGCAGATATCAGCAACCACGTCAAGCGGATGCATCTACTTGCCTGATGTCATGTGAAGATTGTATCGATAAAAATATACAACATCTATGGGACCTCGAAACTATCACAACAGCAGTAAAACCCGTTCATCCTGAACACAGCATTTGCGAAGACCACTTTTTAGCTACCACGCATCAGGATGAAACAAGACGCATAATCGTAAGTCTGCCATTCAAGGACAACCCGACTTGTCTGGGAAACTCCTTCGAAATCGCTCGTCGCCGATTCATTTCGATCGAGAGACGTCTTTTAAAATCGCCTGACATCCGTTCGCAATATATTTCATTTATGGCCGAATACGAAAACCTCGGTCATATGTCCGTTGTGGCAAACCAAAATTTAGATGAGCCTCATTTTTACATACCTCATCATTGTGTCCTATAGCCGAACAGCGAATCAACAAAACTTCGTGTCGTGTTCGACGCCTCATGTAGGACGACATCGCACAAATCATTAAAAGATCTACTTTTAGTTGGACCAACAATTCAACAAGAGCTGTACATATTGTTGCTACGATTTCGCTTGTTTCGATACGCTATAACTGCAGACGTCACCAAGATGTACAGGCAAGTACTTTTGAACAATAATGATCGTAAATACCACTATATTCTTTGGCGAGCTTCTCCAGATCTGGAACTCCGCACATATCAACTAAATACCATCACATACGGAACGGCCTCGGCTCCATATCGTGCAGTGCGAAGCCTTCACTATTTAGCAGACAAGTGCATGGATGAGTTGCCAGTTGGTGCCTCGGTTGTGAAGTCGTCTTTCTATGTGGATGATATGCTTTGTGGAGCTGACAGCATTGATGCCTTGCGTACGGTAAAAAGCCAAGTTAGTGCAGTTCTCGAGAGAGGTAGCTTTCCATTGTCGAAATGGCACTCCAACCACGTAGACTTCAGGGAATGCCAAACATCAAAAGAGCTCAACTTCACAGAAGATTTAGTAACACTTGGTATCACATGGGATCAACTGGAAGATGTGTTCCTGTTTACATTTGCACCAAAGGAAATTCATACTGCGGTCACAAAACGCACGATCCTTTCGATCGCCTCATCACTCTTCGACCCGCTCGGATTGCTTGCACCTCTTCTGATCACATCCAAAATCGTACTCCAAGAACTGTGGCTTTTAAAGCTCGATTGGGACGAGTCCGTGCCACAAAACCTGCAACACGCTTGGAGCAAATGTCTCTCGGTTCGCTATCAACGCTCGCGGTGCCTCGTTATTGTCAACAGCCAAACGCATGCAATCTCCAAATTCACGGCTTTTGCGACGCATCGATTCGAGCATATGGTTGTTCTTTGTACTTGCGCACTGAAGGCACAGATGGAAATATTGCTGTTCACTTGCTGACATCGAAGTCACGATTGGCTCCTGTCAAAAAACAATCGCTTCCGAAACTCGAGCTTTGCGGAACGCATCTTCTTGCACAGTTGTACAATAAGGTAAAAACCATTTTCTCAGACAAACCCATTTCAGCATACTCTTGGACCGATTCGCAACTAGTGCTTCATTGGCTGCAACAGCACTCGGTCTCATTGTCAACGTTTGTAGGCAACAGGGTCTCCGACATACAGGAGCTGACAGCAAACGGATATTGGAGATTCGTACCGACTCAACAAAATCCCGCAGACTTGGTATCTCGTGGTTGTACTTCCACTGACTTGAAAGCATCGAACTGGTTTTCAGGCCCATGGTTTCTACGTGAAGACAAGTCGTCGTGGCCCGCCAAAAAGAGCAAACTTGACGTCGATATTAACGTAATAAACGCAGAAAAGAGAAAAAGCTTGTTTGCTGTTGTTGCAGAAACGAACTACATCCTGGATACTATTGAAAAAATCAGCTCATATATGCGCTGTCTACGACTCATTGCTCGGATGTTCAGGTTCAGTGACACATGCAGAAAAATTTCCAGATCAACGACTTTTTTGCCCACACCTCAGGAACCGCGACGTGCGTTACACTCTATCGTTTGGAATATTCAGCAACAACATTTCGTCGACGACTTCCATTTGCTAAGAAAAAATCTGCCACTAAAGAGCAACTTAAAATTTCTTACACCATTTTTAGACAACTCAAGCGGTTTCGAACTTATTAAGGTTGGTGGTCGCTTGGAGTATGCAGATCTGCCGGACTCTCAAAAGCATCCAGTCTTATTGCCCAGCAACTCGCAATTTGTGGCAAAACACCTTCGTCATTTACACCTGCAAAATTACCATGCAGGTCCTAAGGCATTAGTAGCTTTAATTCGCCTCGAATTCTGGATAGTTAACGCCAGGGATGTCGCTCGTCGTATTGTGCGCTCGTGTGTACATTGTGTCCGTTACAGACCAAAGCTGTTGCAGCAGGTCATGGGACCGCTACCGGCTGCTCGCCTCGCACCTGCCCGTCCATTTGAACTCTGCGGGGTCGACTTTTGTGGACCCATCAACACATACTTGAGCATTCGTGGAAAGCCACCGAACAAGTCGTATCTGGCTGTTTTCGTTTGCTTGCTGACCAAAGCAGTTCATATTGAGGTAGTCTCAGATTTGTCCACGAAGGCTTTTTAAATTCACTTAAACGCATGGGTAGTCGTCGGAAAATGCCTTGCGATATATTTTGCCATAATGCTACGAATTTTGTCGGAGCAGCCAATCACCTTAAAGAGCTTAAGCAATTTCTGTTTAATCCTGAGACACAAAATGAAATTTTCAAATTTTGTTCATCAGACTTTATCAATTTTCATTTTATTCCTCCCAGGGCACCTCACTTCGGCGGCCTCTGGGAAGCCGCTGTAAAGAGCGCAAAGGGTCTTCTTAATCGCAGACTGGCAAACACTAAACTAACATTTGGAGAGCTGAGCACCGTCGCTGCTGAAATAGAAGCAATACTCAACTCCCGTCCACTTTCGCCACTGTCGTCAGACCCAAATGATTTCGGAGCTCTGACTGCTGGACATTTTTTGGTTGGTGATTCACTACGAGGCCTACCTGAGCGTTCCCTGGAACATAAAAATATCTCCAGTCTAGATCATTTTGAGAGGATCACCTCAATTAAACAACGCTTTTGGCGTCGCTGGTCTGCAGACTACGTTAACGAACTGCGCGCACGGGTCAAATGGGCGACACCTACACTAAACCTCAAAGTTGGAGCCCTAGTAATAATTCATGACGACAACCTACCACCACAGCGCTGGAAACTTGGTCGCATCGAATCCACCGTGCTTGAGAGAGATGGTAAAGTTCGCGTTGTGCACCTTCGCACTGCTAATGGACATTGTTGCCGCCCGATACACAAATTAGCCCTCCTACCTGTATCTTGAAAGATGGTTCTTTCAACGGGGCCGGGATCTTGGATCACCCTAATAGCATTAATAGCAAATATTAAAAAACACTCATTTCATGAGTTAATAACCACCCGTAATGTACTTATAAACTAAAACACACTCATTGTGAACACACATATGTATACAAATGCACACACACCTAACGTTAAGAATCAACGTCTCATTGCACTCATTCTCAGTCTCACTTAATATTTTAGTTATGCATACATAAATTGAATTCTAATAAAACACAGCATATCGATCTCTCATTTGGAACGGGTCGCTTTTTATTGTCTTCGCTTTGGTACGTTGGATTTTGCTGACAGTTGCTAAGCTAGTTTTCCGCATCACATACGGACAAGCATATCTTTGCTCATTGCTGTTACAATTTATTCGCTGGCCAACATTTGCACACCCCCACTTCCTAAGTTTCGTGCTGGCAAAGAAAAATATCTTTGTATCAACAGTACCGTTCACAATTGATGAACCAACATTTAACTGAAGTGTTACGAACGGCTTTAACTGACCTAAAACCAGATTTTGAAAATTCGGCCAGTGATCTTTTGAATTTTCTTTAATATCTATCTTACGTGTATTAGAATAATAATAAAGTCAATGTTTTTAATTGCTAATAATAATTTTATTTAAAAATAAAATTTTTGTTTTTGTTGTTTTTTGTGGCTCTTTGTAGAATTTAGAATTTACATTTGGCTCTTTTCGGCCTCGCCCTTGCACAGCCCAGATATATATAGTTTTTTTTTGTAATTTTTCTTACTTCTTTTTCGCTCTGTAACTTTTTAAAGAACAAATAAAAAAGTGGTGTACATATATTGTACAATGGAGCGCATACGTAGTTGGCTAAATTTTGCAATTGCAGACGATGTGCTGATAAAAAAAATATGCATTTTTACTTTTGTGCACGCGCCGTAACCTTTTAAAGAATTTGTTTTTTTAACTATCTTCTAATGAGATCACATAAGCCTGCCACGTCTACATCGAATCTTTTAATGCTCCAGAACTCTGTAGAAGTTGTCCGATAATAATTTTAGGCACGCACCAGCTACAGTATATTTTAAAAACAGCGAGTGTCAGAATTTAAAAAAAGGAGTCACGCCATTTTGATTCTTCCTAACTCCTTTTATATTGCAAGCAAATACTTCTAACGGGCTGCATTCGATTCTTCTCTCCAAATACTACAAGTTAATTAATTGATTTTACATTCATAATCTACACAACACATGTAACCTGATTTTTGTTAATAAACCAGCGAAAATTATGTTTCCGAATAAAAACTGGCGACGCATGCGAAAGTTCGAGCTAATGCCCATATGTATGCTTTATAACCAAATTCATCACCAAAACAAACGCGAAAAATCCCATGCAACGCCGTTGAAAATTTTTCGCGATAACCTGTTGTGATCTTTTTTCCTATTTATGGGCGGCCGACATCGGCGATGTTCGGACTTCTCATATTGCAATGAGAAGCAATTTCTTTGATTTTTGTGTTCCCAAATGACAGCGGAAATTTTTTTATTGATTGCATTCCAAATATGAGCCATAATAATTTGTTGGGATTTTTCTTTCGCTTTAAGTGAATGTAAAGTAAATTTGAAATATTATCGATCAAGATAAATGTCATAAATGAATGAAAAGGAATAATCACAAATGATAATATCCGAACCGTGACTACTTAGTATACCTACAATGGTATACACCAGAGATGGGCAAATTGGCTCCCAGGAGCCTTTTGCACTGAGGAGCCGGCTTGGCTCATTTAGGTTGCAAACAGAGTGGAAGCGAAGCCGAAGACGAAGATGAAGACGAATCCGAAGACGCATTGCTTGCGTTGCGGGCAAGCTGGCGAGTGTACATAGTGGAAGATAAATGATATGAAGCTTTGTTTCTAAATAAAACCCTTTTTTTAGATTAAATCAAAAGAAAATAAAGAAAAAACAGCAATTCATGAAATAATTTGTATAGGACAGCTTTTGGAGAATTTCGCCACTTGTATTATGTGTTACGGCAAGACGGACAGACATTTTTCGAATATACAAGAATGCCAATTAATACGTTTGATTACATTTTGCCCGAAAATTTAGCCAATTTCTTAAAAAACGCGTTTTTTCACAATTGCAAACAGTAAAATAAATTGTAAACAACTCATCACAGCAAGCGATTCGTCTTTGAAAACAGTACCGCACTGTTTCAAGCTGACCGCTTGCGCAACATCTTCATCTTCGTCTCCGTCTTTGCTTGCACTGTGATCACTTTCATATGTTTACTACTGCACTGTTTTTCGTCTTCGGCTTCATCTTCATCTTCGTCTTCGGCTTCGCTTCCACTCTGTTTGCAACCTTAGGAGCTTGATGAGGGGGGCATCAAGAGCCAGCATGAAGGGGGAAGAAGAGCGTAATAAAACAGATTGTACTCCGACTCTCATTACTAATGCAAACATTAAAAGAGAATGAGAACATATGCATACATGTACATTTGTGGTCGCCAAAAGTTGAACTGTGACTATGTTGGTGAGAACAAGAAAACTGCTCCGCATGTGCAACCTAGTAGGAAACTACGAGAACTAGAACAAAATTTTTAAACTATCGGGCTTCAATAAAATCATATAATAAATACATATATTTAACATATATA